TAAAATACTTTTTGGACTTTTAAACTTTTCTCTGAATTCTCCAGTCAGCAAACTCCATCCCTTCTGTTTCAATGCTTTCATTCATTGACAAAATGTGCTTATGCCCACAAACACACGGTGTCCAACAGGTCCCTGCTGCTGGTGCTGCTGCTAATTGCCCAGATCCTGACGTTTTGTCCAATGGACATAATGAATTATGAAAACCGACCCACACACACACATGTTCACAAACACACACCTACCAATGAACCTGTTTGTTGTCAGCTAGCTCACTCCATCCATTAGCTGTTATTGTTTTCTCTCAACATGACATTGATTCAATTTAGCACCAATCAATTTGGAATGATTCTGACATTCAGATATGACCTTAAAGCTGGGCAGAGCTGGAACTATGATTAGGACTAAACTTCTCCTAATGAGGTGATTTCTCTTCACGCAGAGCCATGTGACACGATCCAACTGGAATGGTCAGTAAAAATTAGATCAATTATTGTGAACAAAACGGCTCTAACGTGATTACCCCCGCACCTGCTAATTTGTGTAATTAATAACCTCCTCTTGGCTGTAGAGAGCAGTTTATTAATAACAATCTATATCTGTGCTCCTTAATGAAATGGCAGGGCCCGGGCCATCCGTTCTGCAGGTAATGTCATAATCAATGATGTCCAGCACACATGTTAATTACCACAGTTATTAATTGTTACAGTTTGCCTTGAATTCTACATGCTGTCAGCTCCTTTGTCTCACGATGTACAGCAATCAGTGGATTGAAAATGGCAAATCTAATTAGCCATTCAGCAGGCAGGCCGAGCATCCAAATGAGACAGTATCAGCCCTGACAGCTGGCAGCCGAGGCGCCGTTCACACTGGGCCAAGAACAAAACCGGCATTATCCAGTGCCCCGGGAACAACAGGAAAAGACATGTATCGCTAACTAATAAATACATTCACAGCAGCGGCCTGCCATATCACACAATGGTCTAATGAAATGCCTGCTTGATGCTTTTGTTTGGGTACAAGCAGTGTTTATGCGTTTATCTGTGAAGGGAGCGCCCTGTCCGATGCAGCAGGCGGCAGAGAGGCATTTCTCACATGCTGGGTCACATGGTCCTTCTGGGAAAAAGAATTCATTCATATTCTAACATACAAAAATGTGGGAAAGAAGGTAAAAGTTTACATTTAATTTTTTCCAATTATCATATTCGTATGTTTGAAGTCTTAAACCTGAGATGATGTTTTTTTTCACAGCGATGTTATTAAATGATATAATAAAAGGTGGAAGAGTGGTCAGTGCTCCAGCCTTACAGCCAGAAGGTTAGTGGTTTGATATCAAGTATGTCAAACTACCCACCCAGGGACCATAAACTACATAAACTACAACACGCAGCTCAGGTACATGATTAAAAATAAAAGGTAGAAAAAATGTTTTACATCCTGCCAAAGTCCTGTCACCTGTAAGGTTGACTTCAAAGACTGTAGGTAGACACTCATCCTGCTCCACTGATGTTGTTTTCTTGGTAAAAAGACAATTGACTTCTACCGTTTACAGTGACTCCGCACATAACCATAAATAAACATAGTGTCCATGAAGACCTCTGTGTGTGTGTGTTTTCTCATAATGTCACATACTGTCTCCTGTAATGATTCTAATTCAATTTGTGTTTGCTCTGCTTCATTTTTGTAGAGTTATGTAAAGTGCTGGATGTTTTTTGTTTGTTTGTTTGTTTTTTTTCCACTGTCTAATGAGAGTAAATAACATTAAATACTGTCCCTCTGCGGGAGTGGACACAAATCCACCCCCTAATGTCCCATCCTGCTGTAACTACTGAAATGACTCCATTACATGTACAAGCAGCTCATTACATCCTGTAATTATATTTATCTCCAGATGACCTCCAGCTACAGCAGTACTTCTGACAGGGTTAGAGTAGCAGGTCAGGTAGTGCAGTAGACTAGACTAGTTCTATTTTCTGTGTGTGATGGAGATCGTCAACATTTATTATCTCTAGTTTTGACTTCATGACTAGTTACCTTAACCATGTGTGTTTGACTCCTCAGTCATTTCTAGGCTACACACACCTCAAGTGTACGAGTGTTTTTGTTAAGTGTATATTATACATAATATTTTGGGTAATTAATTATATTTACAGACAAATAAAATATTAATGATGGCCAAAATCAAAGTTACTCTGAAGGCTAAAACACCACGACATGTCTCAAAAGACAACATTTCAGAAAACACAAAGGCACTCTGAATCAGAGAGAGGGAAGGGACGATACTTCTTGATTCCGATTAAGCGGAACCTGACAGTGTCACGCCATTTCTACACAGCCGTGTCCCCGAGCGACCTTTAAACCGCGGTGGAAAGGGTTTAATTTCTTACTTTAAGCTGTTTCTAGTTCACCCTAATGACTAATCGTTTGTCTAATTAAGCTTTTCTATATATATCTATATATCTCTATATGCATATACAGTATACGTATATATACATATATATGTACATATACATGTGCATATATACATTTTATATACCTATATATATATATACTTTAAGTTACCTTATTTAATCATGGACACTTGGAAATGAGACATTTGAGTGTGACGTCTTTTGGAGGCTCATGTTTGTAAAAGAAAGAAACTGTCCATCATTTCTTGGTACCACTTTTCCTCTCACCACTGCACTGCACAAAAGAACAAAGATAACACAGTGTCACAAGTTATGACAAAGACGCCCCCAACAACCCCGCCCATACAGCAGCTCCAACACTGCTCATATGCTTGTCTTACTGTGTGCCGTCTTAACACCACAGGTGCTGGGCTCCAGCCCAGCAGGAGCCCGAGGGGGGAGGCCGTTGGCCCTTTCTTCTCCCCCTCCTCACAGCAGTGATGGGCAATAAAAACACTTCACACCTTAAATGAAAGATACGACTTTAAATATTTTACACACATTCTGCATATGCAATTTCTCCACACCTGGCTTTAGCAGCAACAACATCTGGTGGCTGTTGCTTTAGAGGCAGTTAATTCTTCATCCTAACAATCAGGGTCCTTTTTCCAGGATGTGGCAGAAGGACTTAAGTGTTACTGAGATGAGTGCAAATGTTAACATTGCACTTTACTTTTCCCAGCATCAAAACAATGAGCGCTGCTAAGGTGGTGTGGAAATTTGTTTTACAGCAACTAAAAATAACCTTAGGAGAGTTAAAATTAGATCGTTTTTTTTGGTCAAATATTTTCATTAGTTTGATCAGAAAGACTAAAACGCAAACTCCTTCACTTTCAAACCCACAAACGGCATGACATTATAAAACA